TTATGCCTTTGTTTGTTCCTCTAAAAAGGATCTACTCATAATTACCTAAACATTGGAGATAGGTAGACTGGTGGTAACTTTTGGGTTTGTGTGAAATGCCCCTTTTTCATTGTAGAATTTCAAATTCTTTCATTTTGACCAATTCTATAGTCATAAGGGCTTTTTTTCTTTAAAATTTTTAGGAGAAAAAGTACTCTTAAAATATAATCTGTTTCAATAATTTTCATCCAATTGTGAAACTATTTAAATTGATAACAAAACAGTCAGAAACAGAGAAAATAAACAGCCATATTACGAAACAGATACTGAATAAATATTCTGATTAACCTTAATATGATTTTTCACGGCACTCGGGTTCTGTAGAACCTACAACTAAAAGAGGATCTCATCTAAACCCAGTACTGGCTTTCTGGCAGACTTCTTATTAGTGAAGCAATGAAATATACATGTTATATATGGTTGGCTAAGTCATATTTCCGTGCAAATGTGATCAGAAGAAAATTACTTTTTAAAAAAATGCTTAGAGGTTAATGCAGATAGATAACTATCAGGATTTAAAAAATATATAATTGAAGAAAAAATATTTGTAAAATAATTTATTTGTCATTCTGGTGTCTGTAACCTCTGTTATCTAATTAATTTGACTATATAGAGATTAATTTTCAGCCTTAAAAAATAAATAAATAAATTAAAGGGATTGATAAGAACTGGACAGCAAGTATTTCTTCCATTCCTGGAGGAAAACTGAGATTTTTAAGAAAATTTCTCAGCCTCAGTCTGGATGAAAAAGTCAATGCCTTAAAAACATCTAAAAAACCCAATGAACTGAAAGCAAAGTCTGCATCAATCTATCATAGTGTTTGTTTTCTTTGTATTCAGTTTGTTTGCTCTTCTTACTATATTTAGCTTAAAATTACAAATAAGTCAGCTCTTGAAATTGGAAATGAGATTTTAATTTTAAAAATCAGCTTACAGGATTTCACTAACATTAGACTTATTCCTGGAAGCTGAAATGAAAAACACAGTTTAAAAAAATATTTTCCTGTGAGTAGTGTCTTGTTTCAGTGAATTATGGTTTGCCAATAATAATAATAATAATAATAATAATAATAATATGCTAAGTACATTTTTCACCCTCTCTTCTACAGGCTTCTAATAAAAATGTTCATTTTTCCAGTCTCATTTTTGTAATATTAATGATTCTAATATGTTACCAAATGGAGTAGATTAGTTTTTCCTCTGAAGAGCATATGTTAATGCCAAGCCCTGAGTTGATTGACAGCAATGATGATCAAAGATGCCACCTAAATTGCTTTTCTATTCTTATTGCTAGCGTATTTCCCAAAGGACTCAAACCAGAGACTCAAGCTACACACCAGCATTAGCAAGACTGAAAGAAGCACTGAAAATGTTTCTGAGCAGATCCTCAACTAGTGAAACTTGGCACTGCTCCACTGACTTCTTGTTTTCACTCCTTCTCCTTCTGTCTCGCTTGTGCTTATGTGTGGGCTGCTGCCCTGCCTTAGATATTTTTTGAGGAACAGACTCACAGCAAGCAAAGCAGATAGATTAAATAGGTAGAAACTTTTGAGCAACCTATAAGAGATTGAACAACAACCTAAAAATAAAACTAGGTACAAAATAATAGTATTTATTTGTGCCAGAACACTGGGCTAAATTCTTAGCTGCTAGAAACAAGGATAGGTCTATTGCTGAAAGGGGAGCTAGACCAATTGACATCAAATTAAGATCTACTTTTGACTCCAAAGGAGCTATACCAGCTAAAGAGGATCTTGCTTATTTTATTAAATTAACCAAAATTATACGCTACTGCATGTATGACAGTTTTGTTTTGTGAAGAGATGAGAAATGTCTCTGAAACAAGAAATCTAATTCTCCCCGTCATAATGCTGTTGTAAATCATCAGTAGGACAGCTTTAAACAATGTCAGCACAAAACTGGTAGGGATGAGACAAATACCAGCACAAGAAAAGCAAGAATTTCCTAGTCTTAAGCAAAAAGATCAGGACCTAACTATACTTTTAAAAGCTATGCTTGATAGTCTGTAACACCAAGTGACTCAACATCTCTAATTTTTAACTGTCATGAAAAGATGGTGTTTTTCTCTTATGAGAGAGGAAAGGAGATCTCCAAAAACCAACTTCATTGCCCAGTGTTTGCCTAAGAGCACAACAAAGTTTTTTAACTTTGCTCCCAAAGTTGACCCTATCTGTGTGAGCACTAACAGTGTTGGACTAATGTGTGTGGATGATTGTTCTGTTCTCTGTAATCTGAGTTATAATCATTGGCACAAGTGACTTGTGTACTGTGTGCCCGCAAGTAAATAACAGAAATTAAGAAAGCTCGTGGTGCACAAAATGTGAAAGTTTTTGAACTAAAAGTTCTCTGTCACTACAAATCTTATTTTTTGTTTTGTCTTTTACCTGATTTTAAAACTAGTTCTTGCTCAAGGACATCTTCTGTTTGTAGTCTTTGCTATTTAGAAATTACAAATAAAATCAAGTTGAAAGCAAAGAGTTATCTCTGAGAAAAAAACACACTCTAAATGCTAAGGTAAGGTATACTTCCAAAACCAGCAAACCCTTTTCAAAATATAGTGATGAATCCAGGAAAAAATAATCCCATGCTACTTGACCATTGGATTTGACTGGAACACTTGGGGCCCTGCTGCTTGCCCCTTTCTTTCAGTTTACATCATCCTAAACCAGCTTTGATTGATCAAGTTCAGAAACTTGATGTTCATCTCAGATGACCTGAAATTCTTTAACAGGAAAAGCAGAAGGAAGTTACCTCTTACTCATGCACAGAAATGGAATTTGACTCTCCAGCTTGCTGCAGTTGAAATCAAGAGATTTCTATGTCATAGTGGTTTAAACCTACTAAATATAGGATATAACTGTTCTATATAGCAGATGTTATATCAATAGGCAAGCTGTAAGACAGAAGGATTGAGTCACTTGGAAAGTGACGATATACTTGTACTTGGTCATGCTGTAGATACTTAAGAAATCTATAAGAATGGTAAAACCAGAAAGGCAGATGAGCAGAAGGGAGGTAACATATCACTGTGCATATGTGTGGGACTGGGAATTTTACTGGTCTGCAGTGAAAACAATTTGTTTCATCACAGTATTTTGGGATAGGAGACACACAGCTGCTGAGCTCCCTTGCAACCAATTCTATAATAATGAGTGCAGAAAAATAAACATTAGTAATTGAAATAAATCAGTCAAAGAGATGCAGGGTACTTTCTATGGTCGCGGGGTTTCTAAGCTAAATATGATATTGTTCAGTTTAACTTGGTAACTTTAAATAGGAAAATAGAACTCATTTTGAGGTAACTGACTTAGTGGTGGGAATAGACTGGATGTAAAGAAACCCAAAGTATCTGGTTAAAGCTATTATGGTATTATAGCCTACAACTATTGAAGAAGATGTCCAATATTTTGATAGAGTAAAAATAGTAAGAACATCATCAGGTCAGATAAGGATTAAGGAGGTAGAACATGCAAAGAAGCATACCTATGAAAGGGGTCTCATTCAACCACTGGCCATTTCATCTGAGAGATGAAGAAGTTAGTAGAAGGCCAAAGAGCCTCAGTGATAAGAAAATTACCCAATTCACAGGAATGTGGTAGGCATCCTGTTGGGCTTCTAGCAGAAGGAGAAAAAATAAGCCTCCCCGTAACTGCGTAAATTCTCTTCCCCAAAGAACTCCATTTAGTAACCCATGATAATAAGCTGCAAAATCTATTCATGCTTTTGGTACATCTTATGTAACTAACATTAGTTACAGTTATCTCTGCTTACAAATGAAGTTGCAGCCCTCAGGTTTGAATCAGTCTTCTGATTTGAAATGCAAGTCCAAATTAACACTATCAGGGTCATAAAAGGAGAATTAGAGAGCGAATATTTCAAAACTCCATTCATCAAAAGAAACATTACCAGTGTTATTTAAATGCAAGGAGATAAATGATAAAAATATCATTGTACAGAACAGAGATAGAAAGCACAAGACACAAAATTTTGACAGTCTAAAACACAGAGATGGCATCACTGGAAGGTTAATGGTACCTAACTAAAGATAAAAAAGCTGAAGAATACGATACAGAAAAATAATCTAGAATTCAGCAAGGCCTTATATCTCTAAAGGAGTTAAAAAATCAAGTGTGAAGTTAAAATCAATCAGCCCTTTTCAATAGCAGCCAGTATGAAAAATAAAACCAAAAACCCAATACAGTATTTCCCAATGAGCAAATCTGGTGGTAAAAAGTAAGCATATAACTAACTGCAGAGATACATAGGTGAGAGATCCAATGGAAAAATATAAAACTTAGGCTTTTTTTTGAGACAATAAAGGTGTATCAATCAGTCAGTTATACAGTGTTAACAGCATCTTAGTATTTCTGTTAAATGTATGTGGGGTTTTTAGGTTATTTTATTTCTGCATCATTAGTGAGAGTCAGATATTCTCATATTTAGTCGAGTTTTTAAAAGATCGGCGATTTTGCTTTTCCACCTCTTCCACTTTACCTAATGTGAGATATACATGACATATCAATATTCTTTCTTTGAAATGCCTATTCAAAGTTTTGAACTACACTTCCCCTGGGTGATCCAGCCTCTCTGTCCTGATGACTTCCTTTTACTGATGTAACTATAAAATAACCCAAAAAATTCAGACCCCAATTAACCCTAGAATTCAAACTTGTCCAGTACATGTTATAACAATACCTATTCTGTAGGAATCCCTTGATTTTTGTAATCATAGTGGTTCTGAATTCACACCTTTAACAATTTGTAAAAGGTAATAATTTACAATGGCATTCCTTAATCAAATGTCAGGTTCAGCACATTCTAATGTGTTGTACTTAATAGCAATCAAGACAGTTCATAGAAGACATGGAAAGGAGAAGTAGTGATTGGTGAAGAAAAAAGTCAGCAATGGAAACCTTAGACTATTGAAAGGCAAAGGTTACCTCCCGCTGGAAAACACTCTTCCTGAGATGGTATGCGCCTGCAGAAAATAAAGAAAAGAAAAATTATTATTAATCAGGCCTTCATGAGAGAATGGTATTGGCAGGCATTAAGAAATCAGCCAGCAGAAGAGAAAAGCATGAAGTGATTCCAAACAAATGAAGGCTGGGCTGTATTCACCTGAATTATCTCTTTGCAAGGAGGAAGAGGCAAACTTGGAGCAAACAGCATTTGTCAGTAATAGGGGCTTTAATGGAGAGTAATGGCTATAAGACATTTTTGCAATAACCACAGAAAGATGAGCTGTATTCAGACTTTTCAGGTATTTAGATTTCATTCAGGCTGTCCGTGTTACAGGATATTTCTCATGAGGGATTACAGTGCAACCTGAATAAGTTATGTATGGGTCACAAATGATGCTACATGTTTTGTGAATATTTTCTTCTATTATATGTGAAATTTCAGGTTACACTCAGCTTCCTGGCACTTTTGGACCATGTAACTAGCCAGAAACTGTAACTACAGCACTCAATGGAGTGTATATCCCTCGTGTAGAAATAGTAATCTCTGGAGTAGGTAAGGTCAAACCCATAAATTTGTGAAAGCTTAGTGCATCACACAGCATGTTGGAACAGTCCCAGAATTTACTGAATTTGCACTCACACCACAAAACAATTATTCCTTCTTGCTTCTTTCTTACCCTGTGTGATACTCAGTGTTCAGGAATGAATGATGGCACTTTCCCCTCCTTCCTCTCTCCCACTTACTTTGCCTTCACTTGTTAATGGAGAGATACATACTGTCTTGAATCATAGCCACTACCTTATAAGAACACCATCAGGTTTTATGGACAAAAATAGAACCTCGTAAATTGTGTTTGTATAAGAAGGTGACTGAATTATCACTGATATCAGTAGATAATGGGAACTTAACCTGATACCTTCTCCATAGTCTAGTCTTCTTGGTATTTTATTCATCTGCACACATTAGAAAGATCTGCTCATTTCAAGGTATTTTTAGGATCTGAAATGACCTCCCAGCAGATACACTAGCTGTCATGAATTCAAGTTAAACTTCACAAGAACTTTGGGAGCTAATATTTCTGAAGATGTTTTGTTTCTCAGACTTCCATAGTCTTCTCAAACTCTTTGTCTCAACGCAATCCTTACACAGCTTATGACTCTTCTGAGAACCTTAGACTGCTTTCTGCTTCTTATTGTCTCTGAACCTTCATCTGTAATTTTTTTTCCAATTTATCTGTAGTTTTTCTGTTACAGAGCCACTGTGAGCACAAACTAGGCATCCATCAATCTAACATTCTGCTGTAAGCATCAGGCAATCTCAGTGCTTCAAAGAACCAATTGCATCATGAATACCCACCTGCCCAAAAGATTTAAGAAACAAATTTCTTCCAAAATTCTTTAATTTATTCTTCTGCAGTAGCATCATATTTAGTATGACAGCTGTGAGCAAGCTTGAGCAGCCAATATAAAGGACAGAAGAATTGTCTGAATTATTAAGTTAAAAGAGAAGCCTTACTATAAAGCGCAAAAGTCTTATTATTGTCAGTCTCAGTACTGCAAATATGGTTTTCAGTTAGGAATATTCATTTCAGAAGGATAAACTTCTGAGGGTTCATTTCGGATTTTTTTTCCGTGTGTCCTTCCCACTGCTTTGATTCGCCTCAATAGCAGAATCACAAGGTAAACATTCATAATCAGGCTACATCACCCAGTGATTCTGAATATTACCTGTTTACTTCACTTCCCAACTCAGGATACACAATGACATTCTTCAAAACTAATTGAGAAATACAGATAGAAAGAGAGCAGTACTTGGGAGGAGGGATCTTTTTACTGGAAAAACTCTTGGAAAATAATTTTGTAAAAAGTATATAAAAAGTATATGGTTGCCCCTCAGACATCAAGGAATAACGCCACTAACTATACCTTGATGTTTTAACACACAACAAAATGTTCAGCTAATACACAATGGAGCAACACCACACTGGAGCAACACTATGGGTCAGAACTAATTCTCAGTTTCTTAACAGATTCATGAGCATTTTCATTGCTCTGTTTATAAAAGAAGATACACTGAAGACAGTGTTCAGGAATTTAAGTGCTAGGATGAAATGATTAAAAAGTTGTGAGGTTCCATACTTATTTTTACTTGAAATCTGTTGCATTACTTTAGGCAGGTTCATGATGCACGCTGCATTCTATTGCAATGAATTTTATGGGACAGGGCAGTTAATTTTGCAAAAAAGTTACACTTCACTAAGAGAAACCAATTGAAAAGAAATTAGAGAAGTCTAATTCACCAGTTTTTGAAGTTTTTTTTCATTTGCACTGAAGAAATCCTCAGAAGTTTTGGTAGTGTACTATACCAGCATATAAAGTAGATGTAAAAGCAACTCCTAACCTTTGCTTTAAGAACCTCACATTTCCATATTCCAGGAAAAAAATACAGAACAGCTTCTGCCTCTGTGATTTTGAAATTTACATTTTTGAGAAATAAACAATCCAACATCAAATACATATAAATTAGCCTAATATGAAAAGACTGTGTCAAATTCAGGCCTGAAGCAAATAAGTGTGGTTCCACTTCTGCCAATAGAGTGTTTTGAAATTGGTGTACTGTTATTTTTATAGACTACCAAGATAATTTTTGAGCACACTAAACTAAGTAGTGAATATATTCCTAACAAAATGTTCCCTCCATTGAAATACAGGGAGTGGGCAGCTCATAGTGTTAGATGAATGTGATATGAATTACTTTAAGAAGATACTGTGACTCTGAAATTATCGTCAATTACAGTTGCCAAATTAAGTAAGAAAAAATAATGGACAAGATATGGAGGTGGGAGTTATAGAGATATAGTTACTACTAAAAATACAGGCAAAGCTGTAAAGCATCATGACACAGTACCTAATGATTTGCTTATTATTCAGCATCTATTAAAATATCAGCTTTTTAAGAACTTACATTCTTTTTGTTTCCTAGATTTAATACTTGGTAAATAAATTTTTTTTACTGGTTCCAGTACTGAATGGCTTCATTTAATGTATATTTCTACTGACCATGCATGTTTGTTAACTTGGCTATTTTAGAACTTATTAATTTAAGCATCTCTTGAAGATTTGGAACTAATCAAATACACAATGATCAGTAATTCTTCTAGTTGTCCAGACTTCTCAAAGTTCATCATGAGTTATTCTTATGCTGCTGTCTGCTAAGGACAAACATAAATTTAGATTATTCTGAATGGTTTTACCATTTCAAGATATTTCTTCTATTATAAAAAAAATCCTTTAGAAAATAAATCAAAATCTCTCACCAGTTTATTTACAGAAAGCTCTTTATTGTTCAGCACCACTATCAGGGATTTTAAAATACTTTCCAAAAGACTTGAAATAACAAATATGCCCACATTTTTGCAATCTCAAAACAGTAAGCTTCTTGGGGCAGAGACTATCAGATTTTATTTGTACATGGTCCTTAGCACAGTGAGACCCCCAGGTTTGACTGCAGCCCCTGAGTGCTACTTCAATGGAAATAATAAACGATAATAATAATAAAGTCTGATTATTAACTTGACAGGCAATTTTTGAAATAATGAGTCATCAAGGAAACTAATTTTTTCCCAATAAGCAATTCAGCCATTTCCTCTCATCACAGATAATATACATCTGTCTTCTATGCTGTTTGCAGAAATTCTGTAGATGTGCTATGTCTTCTCATGAGAAAATTGGTTCGTGAAATGGAACAATTTTTCTCAGACTCATGATTTCTTCTTTATTGAGGGCCAAATTGAGCCTGTGTTCAATTGCCCGTGTCTGGGACAGCAAGTAGTTACAGCACCTCCAGAGCAAGCTGGGGAAGAAATTGTGACTCAGAGAGTTCCAACCCCTTTCTCAGGTTCAGCTGCCTACTTGCTCCAGAAAGAAAGCAACCTGCAAATGCTCTATAGTATAGACTATTTACCAGCCCTGCCAGCTCAGCTGAGCTCTCTGCCATGTTGAGGGGTGAGAGCCAAGATTACTTTCACACCCTCCGCATGTGTGCAGAGGACATGAAAAAGAAAGAAGTTCTAAGTGAAAAGCCTTTATGCTCCATCCTGTGGCAAATGCAAAAATCTATGGAGGCCATGTGGAGACTTAGTGCCTCAGTAAGGACAGATAAATCTAGGCATCAATATGACCCTACATTAGCAGCTAACAGCATGTGATTAAGGAAACAAAATCCCTAGAAGTGGAAAAGTCTAATCCTTCTTCTACCTAATCAAAATAATCCTAAAATGTGGTTTGTTTTGGTTTGGGGTCTTTTAGTTTCTCTTTGACTTGGGACACCACCTGTAAAACCATAAGACATTTAAGCATAAAAAAATGTTATGTTGGCATTCCTGGCATGTTTCACTGACAATATTCTGTGGTGAAGCAATAGCATTTATAGCCTATTTTTTCTGAGATTTTAAAGTTGCCAGTGGCAAATGAAGTGCCTTTGATAGCTTTTATTTGTTGTGTGGATCCACATTAATGACTAAATAAAATAACCAGATGATTTGAACTTTCTCAAAAAAAAAAAAGCACCTCTGATTTTGGATCAAAGACATGTTTAACAATATCCACAGTCCTTATGCTTCCACACCACAGAATTTGATGTACTCATCATCTATCATATGCCTTATGATTAATTTGAGTCGTTATGAGTAACGTCTATCACCGCAGTCCTGGCATGAATAATTATTGTTCTGCACCCTGCTGAGATAACTCATTTCTGACAAAGATCTGCAATTTGATATTTGCATAAGAAGAAAGATGAAACAGGAATAGTTTATTAGGATGGTATAGTCTGTTCAAAATTTTCATAACAAAATTTTTTACCTCCTAGGAATTGATAACTACTTCAAAGAAAAACATGTGAAACAGAACTCAATATCTTGGAGATATTGTCTTTGCAATTACCCCTGTATCTTTCCATCAACATGTGGGATTTGTATATCAAAAAATAGCAACAGGAATTTTAGAGCCTGCTGGG